TCTAATTTGAATGTCTCTTATTTCTTGCCTATTTGCTCTGGCTAGGACTTCTGGCATTATGCTCAATAGAAGTGGTGACAGTATGCATCATTTCCTTGTTCCTGACCTCAGAGAAAAATATTTCAGCTTTTTTACCTTTAAGTATGATGTCAGCTATAGGCTTGTCATAGATGGCCATTACTAGAGTGAGGTACATTCTTTCTATACCTAATGTGTTGAGAGTTTTTATCACAAAAGGGTGTTAAATTCTGGCAAATGCTTTATCCGCATCAATTGAATCATTTGATATCTATCTTCCATTCTGTTAATGTGCTAAATCATATTTATTGATTTGCACATGTTGAACCATTACTGTATCCCAGGGATAAATCCCAGTTTATCTTGGTATATCATGTGTAGTTGAATTTGGTTTACTAATATTTTGTTGAGAATTTTTGTATCTATGTTTATCAGGAGTATCATCTTATGGTTTTCAGTTTTTGTAGTATCCTTGTCTGACTTTGGTATCAGAGTAATGCTGGACTTGTAAAGGAGTCTGGGAGTGTCCCCTCACAGTCAACTTTTTAGAAGGGTTTGAGAAGGCTTTGTATTAATTCTTCCTTAACTGTTTGGTAAAATTCAGCAGTAAAGCCATCTATTCCTGGGCTTTTCTTTACAGGGAGTTGCTTTTTTGTTTTGTTTTACTAATTCAATCTCTACTCAAAATTGGTCTGTTCACTTTTTCCATTTCTTCATGATTCAAACTTGTTAGGTTATATATTTCTAGGAATTTACTCAATTCTTCTAGATTGTCCAATTATTTGCTGTGTAATTGTAGAGCCTTTGTATTTCTGTGCTATCAGTTGTAATGATGCCTCTTTCGTTTCGATTTATGTGAGTATGCTCTCTTTTTCCTCAGTGTAGCTAAAGGTTTTTCAATTTTATCTTTTCAAAACCAACCAACCAGTTTTGTTTTCTCTCCTATTGTTTTTTAGTCTCTAATCATTTCTCCTCTGATCTTTATTCCTTCCATTAACCTGACTCAGTTTGTTCTTTTTCTAGTTCCTCAAGGTGTACATACATTTAGGTTTGAGATCCCCTTTTTGTCTTAATGTAGGCATTTATCATTATCAATGTCCCTCTTAGAACTGCTTTTGCTATAATCCCATAGATTGTGGTAGGTTGTGTTTCCATTTTCATTTGTCCAAGATTTTTTTTTTTTTACTTCGCTTTTGATTTCTTCTTTGACTCACTGGTTGTTCAGGAGTATGTTGTTTAATTTCCACATATTTGTGGATTTTCCAGTTTTCCTCTTATTTTTGATTTCTAGTTTCATATTGATGAGGAAAGATAGTTGATTCCATATTCTTAAATTTTTTGACTTGTTTTGTGAACTAACATATGATATATCCTGAGAATGGTCTGAGTGTGCTTGAGAAGAAATATATGCTGCTCCTGTTGGTTGGAATAGTTTTGTATATGTATATTAGGTCCATTTAGTCTAAAGTGCAGTTCAAGTCACATGTTTCTTTACTGATTTTCTGCTGGATGACATATGCATTGTTGAAAATGGGTATTAATCCCCTACTTTTATTACACTGGTTTCTATTTCTCCCATTAGATCTATTAAGATTTGCTTTCTGTGTTGGACTGCTCTGATATTGGGTACACATATATATTTGTATTTGTGATATCCTCTTGACCTGACTCCTTTATCACAATATAATGACCATGTCTCTTGTTACTTAAAGTGTAGTTTTTCTGATAAAAGTATAGCCTGCCCTCTTTTGGCTTCCATTTGCATGGAATAGCTTTTTCCATCCCTTCACTTTCAGCATAAATGTGTCTTTATAGTTGAAGTAAGTCTCTTGAAGGCAGCATATTAAAGTAAGTCTCTTGAAGGCAGTCTTGTTTTTTAATCCATCCAGATACTCTTCTAATTAGAGAACTTAATCTAGTCACATTAAAGTAATATTGATATGCAAGGACTCAGTACTGGCATTCTGTTAAATTGTTTTCTATTTTTGTAGTTCCTTTGTTCCTTTCTTGCTATCTTCTTTGGTAATTTGATTTTATAGAGTCTCCAACTAAAGTTACAGATTTGTCTATTTTATCTGTTCAGTTCTATCAGTTTTGTTTCATATATTTTGACGCTCTGTTGTCTGCTGCATACACATTTAAGACTGCTAAGTCTCCTTAGTTGTTGCAAATGTTGGGACAGGGTAAACAGAAGATGAAACTTAAAACAACTCCGTGGCTCCAAAAAATTAGAAAATGGTAGAAAAATGAATAGTACATGATGAAAGGATATAGGAACAACCCTGAAGGACTTCCAAAGGTCAAATCTAGAAGAATTTGACCAAAAAAATAAATAATAATAGTATTAGATTGTATATAACCCATAAGATAAAATAAATACCCATGAGTTCATACTGATATAAATGAATAAATAAATAAATGGAGAAGGGAAAGCTCTTCTTTACTCAAAATTCCAATTAATAAATGTAGAAGAAATAGGGAAAATACAGAATTACCATTGGGCAAATGCCACAGTAGTAACCTGTAGGAAAGATCCCCTGATGAATACTAAAATTAATGTATAAAGGTTTGAGGAGAAACAAGATAATGTATAATGTTAAAGTCTTTTGCTCAAAATAGTAGTTATAAAGGGACAAACAGTAACTTTACAGTGTAGAAAACTGGCAGATAACATTTTTAACTAAGTTATCAAGGTTAACATAATCAGTAATAAGATATGTTGGCCCTATGTACCTCCAGTTAGGATGCACTGAGATGTGCAGTTAAATGGATTTTATGGCTACTGATTTCTTGGTTTTGATAACTGCACTCTTACTATGTAGGATGTTAACATAAAAGGAAGCTAGATGAAGGATGCGTGGGAAGTCTCTATACTAATTTTTGCAACATTCTGTAAATCTAAAATTATTTCAAAATAAAAAAATTTTAAAGTCATTAAATGTATATTAAATATCCTAGATTATAAACACACCTAAATTCTCATTGATATCCTGAATATCCTGGAATTCTTTATGAATGTGAAAGCCTTTCTAATGAACTACAAACTACCTAATTAAAAACTATAATCAAAATCAAAGTATAAGTGTTCATTAAAACTCATTTCCCTAGCACAAAAAAGGGTAATTATTTCAAAGGGTGTCAGGAAAATTCGAACATAAAATGATAAATACTAAACTTTTTTTCCTTTTGCATTGAGGCCAGGTCCACATCCCTAACCACAACCCAAACCCTTTAACTACCCACAGTTATTATCCTAGTCTGTCCTTCATCAAATAGGCCACCAATGTTAATTCCTCTTAAAAATACTAGATAATTCTTTTGAAGTGGGAGAACAGGAAGAAGCAGAGTGTATATGTATACAATTTTCAGAACTAGGGGTTGTAAAATAAGCTACAAAAATATTTGTGTGATCATGTCAATTTGAAAATTAGAAAACTAAGTCTGGTTTGTTCTGGAGTCAAGAGATCCTTTTCCTAATCATTGCCTGAAAGGTGGAGTTGTGTAGCTGTACTGGATACAGGGTAGTGCTGCTCCTGTTGCATCTAGAAGTGCACACTTCCCTTGTGCCAGATGCTTCTCAGTCTGACAGAGACGAACATCTGCTAGCCATCTGAGCTCTCTGTCATAGGTGTCACTGTCCAAAATGCCATATAGATCAGGAGAATAATGACTCAATGTTTGGAAGAAAATATCAATGTACTTTCGTTATTATAAATTGATTATATCTCAGAAATCTGTGCTAGACAAACTGTATTTTTCTCACAAAAACTTATTTCTTAGGTAGTCCCAAAAATCTATTTAACCTAAATAGTATTATAATTTTTATAGACAACCTAAATATTAATTACCATTAGTTAAAGAAATGAAAAAACCCACAGAACTTGAAAAAGTCAAATATATCTTCAATACTGGTGCTTCAAAGGAAACAGCATCACTTAGCAGAATCTGCAATTCCCTAGCCGTGTACCATGACATCCAGGGCATTAAACCAAATTCAGAGGAGTTCCACAGGTTATTTTAAATTTTCAAATCACCTTCTGTCAGATACCATCAAATTGTTACTATCAACTTGTTTGGATCTAACTGCTTAATAAATAAGACCATTAATGTACTTCTTTTGGCCTATGGACACTACGAACCAAGAAGTCTGAAAACCTCTCTATTAGAAGATAATGAGAAATGAGATGACAACAGTTGTAGAAGCTGTATGAAGGAGCTTTCTAGGCATTCTCAAGGACTTTGCTGGTTGATATTATTTGTACTTTATCAAATATGATTTCATTAAAAAGTCATGGTTCCTTTAAATACTTAAAATTAGTAACATTATGTATGTAACAGTTTAATTAAAATTTCTGTAAAAGTCATGGTTTTCCTTTTTCTCAATATAGGTATATTATGATACTATTCATAATTATCATAGGTTTCCAAATAAAAAGGCCTTGCTTGGGAGGCCCATAAGCCATACAGAGAGAGTGAACAAGTGAGAGAAAGAATGAAGAAGAAGCATTAAGGTATTTTGTTTAGCTAACATGAAAAGAAATGAAAGAAACAAAAGAATTAAGGTAATTTATACACATAAAAGAGAGTGCATTAAGTATAATTAAGTTAGTTCTGAAACAGAGGATAAGAGATTCCTTTTACACTTGATGTGCCAGGCACTGAGATGAATCAAGTACTGAGAAAGATTTGGTGAGGCTGACCAGAAAGGCTGTCTAGAGGCAGCCCAACTAATGACTAGGACATATTCAAGAGATGGGAGAAAGGCTTATGGTGGGCCACTATCAAGATGTTTCGAATATGAATAGAGATAAATAAGTGCTTTGCTTTCAACCTTTGTAAGTCCCTAAAAATATACACATATATTATATATGTATACATCATATATATATCATTATACATATATGATGTATACATATACATCATATATATATACACATACATCATATATATGATGTAACCTTAATTATAATGACTTTTCTTACCTGGATTTCATTTCCAGAACTGCAGTTATTTCTTGTTGGGAAGCCTGTAGTTGGTATAAGAGCTTGACAATATAGTTAAAGTGTTCTGCATCAAGTATCATCCCAGCTTCAACAAACTACAGAGGAAAAAAAAAAAAAAAGGAGTCATTCCTATACAAATATGAGAGCTTGAAAATCAGTAATGTAACAATTATAAGAATGGTGAAAAATGGGGCGCCTGGGTGGCTCAGTGGGTTAAAGCCTCTGCCTTCGGCTCAGGTCATGATCTCAGGGTCCTGGGATCGAGTCCCGCATCAGGCTCTCTGCTCGGCAGGGAGCCTGCTTCCCTCTCTCTCCGCCTACTTGTGATCTCTCTCTCTGCCTGCCTCTCTGCCTGCTTGTGATCTCTGTCTGTCAAATAAATAAATAAAATCCTTAAAAAAAAAAAAAAAAGAACAGTGGAAAAAAAAAATGAAACAAGGAGTCAAGTGGAATTAAAATTCACTTAAAAAACTCAAAGCACATTTTCTTCCAATATTTGAGAACCACAGTAAGACACCCTTCTTCAAGAATTTAAAGTGAATGTGAAAATAATGTTTGAATTCAAAACCTGAATATTCTGTTTTCCAAGTTGTCTCAATGAATTTATCACCCGTACTTCCTGTTTGATACTCATTTTGTCTTTAGCTTACTAGCACTTGTGTTTATATTTCATCCCAGATTGTAAACTTCCTGAGAAGTATCAAACTGAGATTTTCTAAAACTACTAGTGATGACCACTAATTTCTACTTCAAAAAATTTCTAGGCAGGTAATTCTGTCAAGTTTTGTAATGTGGACCTAGCGGTGTTCACCAAAATATTTGTATATTCTGCTATAGTGGTTCTAATGTTGCTCCTCAAAGAAAATGGGAAGTTTTCTTGATATTAGCCTGTTCTGAAATGGATGGCTGGGCAATGCTAAATACCAGTAAGTATCCAAAAGCACAAATTTTAATATATCTTCAAAAAGCCATAAAAATTCTTTTATCTTTTTGTTTAGTGCCAAATATAAAATCAATTCCTAGAACCTCCATGTTTCTCCCTATATACTTTCTTTGTTTTGGTCATGGTTTTCTATTTATATATTGATCTTTGTAATTATTTTTGTTAATAAATGAACTCATAACTTTTGGATAAAAAGAGTTTTCTTTAATCATCTTTAAGGTGTAGATAGGACCTCATAAATTAGAAAGAAGTGCTTGGAATGATTTATCTAAGGAGAAGGCCTATCAATCATTGGAATATGCTTATAAATCCTATTTCAAGAGAAAAAAAATTTCTGAAAATAGGATTCTTTGGCATCAAGAATGCGAGTAAGAGGTAGTTTAAGAATATAAGTGGAAATAATTATTTTTTAAGTTATTCACTATCAGAGAATAAAACAGATTAAAGTAAAGCATACCTTGCAAAATATATCAATTAAAGCAGGTATAGCATTCCTTAATTTCATAGTTGCCACGTGTTCAAATATTTTTAGTAATATTTTCAGAGCAGGCTGGATAAAACAAAAAATTTACTCATTTTAATGTCTTCTACCTTAAGTTTCTCAAATTCATTTATGCTGAAATATACAAATGTTCTCTAGGAAGTATACAATAAACACAGAGGTTTAACTGCTAAATTATACAAGTAAGAAATGTAACAGAGAAATCCACTTATAATATTAAAAAAAATATATTTTCAGTTTACTTACCAGCATTTTAACCATTATGCTGAGGTTCACTACCTGAAATACTTCTTTCAATAAACAATGTTTGAGTAAAGAATTTAGAAGGTCATTTAGCACTTGTAAATCAAAGTGTATACCCGGTGGAAATTTTCGGTAGTAATCCATAAATGTGTTTACTAAAAATAAAAACATGTTAAAGTCACTTGCTGATTTTAAGATATTTATCTTCCTTAAACGAGACTAATTTTCTATATTTAAAGGTTAAGCAGTATAAATTCATCTTCTTGAAAGGTATATTTCCATATCAGCAATATTTGATGGAAGTAAAGCAAAAGTTAACAATAACATTTGAAATCAACCAAAGACAGCAGGCACTAGACAGAGAGCTAACTCATGTGTTAACTACAAAAAAAAGGCCCAAGTTTCCTCATACAACATGGTCTCAATAGGCACTCTGAGGGAGCCATACTCTCAGGGGTTCTTCAGGCCCAACTTAGGGATGAGAAGCTGTATAATTTAGGGATGGTTGTAGGCTATTCTCACACACACCTCTTCTTATTTTAACCCCACCAACATGTTGATCCTAGGGATGTTTTTTATTCCAATCTATGACTGTGAACATTCTACTACAAAGTACACGGACTAATTTACTTTGAGAAAGTAGTTTTTTAATGTCAGTTCAATTCCTTAATATATTTTCTATGTAACACTTAAACCACTTCTAATTTTCCCCATTAATTTTAGTAAAATTATTTTAACTTTAAGGGATCAATCAGTGATTATTTTCCCCATTCCAAAATTCTGCAGGTCAAAATCTCTACACCTTATCTGAAATTGCCTTAATAAAAATTACTTTGGGTTTTATTTTGTGTAATTATTCCTGCTCAAAATACTTATTACTATCTGGATTACATGGTGCTGCTTGGGAATCAAGAGCTAGTGATAAAGTTCAATAGTATAATAAAAAAAATTAGAGACCCACAAAAAGATGGCAGAAGACTGGGGGAGCCTATTTCAACTGGTCCCCTGAACTGAGCTGGATCTCTACCAGACCATTCTGAACACCCACGAAATTAGCCTGAGTTGTAAGAAGATGTATCTGGCTTTCTTTCTTTTTTTTTTTTTTAAAGATTTTATTTATTTATTTGACAGAGATCACAAGCAGGCAGAGAAGCAGGTAGAGAGAGAGAGGAAGGGAAGCAGGCTCCCTGCTGAGCAGAGAGTCCAATGCGGGGCTCGATCCCAGGACACTGAGATCATGACCTGAGCTGAAGGCAGAAGCTTAACCCACTGAGCCACCCAGGTGCCCTTATATCTGGCTTTCTACAGAGTATCTCCAGGGGTTGGTCTCTAGGTATGAAGCAGGGAGCTGTGATTCTTTGGGCAGATATCTGAAGATAAAGAGAAGGGGGTGGGAGCCTCCAGGATCCTGCATCACTGGAGTGCAAAAGCACCCAGGCTCACAGACCAATAGCCATGGCGGAAAGTACCTTAAGGCAACCTCTCAGACAGAAACCTGGAGCTGTGGGGGCACACAGGCAAATTAGGGACGGCTTGCGATTTTGGAAGCACAAAGGGCAGAGACATACCCAGACCAGTAAGCAAGGGTTGGGAGTGCTGCTGTGGGGCGCACAACCCAGGACACTGCAGCATTTAGCAGCACAGACAGAAAAGGAGACTATGTGGCCAGGAGGGCTCCTTGAAGAGCAGACTGCAATCTTGCTCTTCTGAGACAGAGAGCACTTCTGCTCTCTCAGAAGAGACAAAGAAAACTGCCAGGGAAAGCCTCCAGAGAATAAAAGCCCCACAAAACAGTTTTCACCGAGCCCCTCCCTGCCACAGGGGACAGGGCAACTCTGCCCAAACAGGGTTTTCTGAGAAACAGCGCAGCAGGCCCCTTCCCCAGAAGACAGGGTGGAAGAACAAGAGGCCTACAACCCTAAGGTTTCTATAAAACAGGTATATCTTGCTTGTGTTGTGGTCAATAATTTGGACTCTGTAAATTCCCTCAACCACCTCTCAACAGAATGACTAGGAGGAGGAACCCCCAAAAAGGGAAAGATTCAGAGACTGTGGCCTCTGCCATAGAACTAATGGAAATGTATATAACCAAGATGTCAGAAATTGACTTCAGAATAGCAAATATAAAGATGATATCTAGGCTTAAGAAAAATATTAACGACAATGTAGAATCTCTAAGGGCAGAAATGAGATCCAATCAGGCTAAATGTAAAAATACAGTGAATGAAATGCAGTCTAAGCTGGATACTCTGACTGACAGGGTAAACGAGGCAGAAGAATCAACTAGTGAGATAGAGGATAAAATGACAGAAAAGAAGGATATCAAGGTGACATAGGAAAATCAAACTGAAATCCAAGGAATTAAACAGAGAGATTAGTGACTCAATGAAATGTTCCAGTATCAGAATTATTGTTAATCCTGAGGGGTGCAGATAGAGAGAGGTCTAGAAGATATATTTGAGCAAATCGTAGATGAAAATTGCCCTAATCTGGGGAAGGAAATAAACATTCATGTCCAAGAGGCAGAAAGGACCCCTGCAAAAAATCAATGAGAACAGACCAACGCCATGACATATAATAGCACAATTTGAAAATCTTAGATTCAAGGAAACAATCTTGAAAGCAGTAAGGAGGAAGAGCTTTCTTATGTACAGAGGAAGGAACATCAGAATAATGTCAGACCTGTGCACAGAGACCTGGTAAGCCAGAAAAGGCTGGCAAGACGTATTCAGGGTACCAAATGAGAAGAAAACACAGCCAAAGATACTTTATCCAGCAAGGCTATCATTCAGAATGGATGGAGAGACAAGGAGTTTCCAAGACCAGCAGAAACTGAAAGAATATGTGACCACAAGGCCAGCCCTGCAAGAAATATTAAGGGGGGCTTCTATAAAAGAAGGAAGAACCCAAAAGTGATATAGAACAGAAATTTACAGAGACACTCTGTAGAAACAAGTACTTCACAGGAACATGATTACAATAAAATCGTATCTTTCAATAATCACTCTCAAAATGAATGGCCTACAGGCTCCCATGAAAAGGCTCAGGGTTGCAGGTTGGATAAAAAGACATGATCCACCCATATGCTGTCTACAAGAGATGGATTTTTAACCTAAACATATATCCACACTCAAAGTGAAGGGATGGAGAATCATTTTTCATGCCAACGGACCTCAAAAGAAAACTGGAACAGCAATTCTCATATCAGACAAATTACATTTTAAGCTAAAGGCTGCAGTTAGAGATACAGAAGGACACTATACTGTGCTAAAAGAGTCTGTCCAACAAGAGAATCTAACAACTGTAAATATTTATGCCCCCAAGTTGTAGCAGACAACTACATATGCCAACTATTAACTAAAATAAAGAGAAATATTGATAATAATACAGTAATAGCAGGAGACCTCAACACTCCACTCTCAGCAATTGATCATCTAAGTCAAGAAATAAAATCTTTGGAGAGAGGGGCAAGATGGTGGAGGAGTAGGAGACCCTATTTCAACCGGTCCCCTGAAGTGAGCTTTATATCTACCAGAGCACTCTGAACACCCATGAAAACATCCTGAGATGTAAGATATACTCTTCTGGATCTCTACAGGAGCAGAGAATCATTAGTGGAGAGGTACAGAGGAGTTGGAAGTGCATAGACTGATATCAGAGGATACAAAGAAAGGAGAGGGCGTCATCAGAACCAACCCATGGAAAGTAATGCACCAATGAGAAAGTGCCCTGCATTTGGTGACCAGCATTAGCTTGGAGATCAGTGGCTGCGAGACGGAAAGGGATTAATAACAGCACTCAAAAAGAACTAAGGGACAATTGATGGGACTGGGCAGTAGCGGGCGTGGACCTAAGCCCACCATCCCAAGACAGCCACAGCCAGCACCCATCCACACATAGGAGAACCCGGCATGGGCTCCAGTTGGCAGTCCCTGGGTCTGCGACCACCACAGCTGCCTCCGCTGCTTCCACTACCATGGGAGCTGAGCGTACCCAACGTGGCCATGGGCTCCAGTCAGTGATCCCAGGAATGGCAGCCACCAGCACCAAGCTCACCCCGGCCAAATTAACTCTCAGTTTTGGTGGCACGGGGGTATAGAGACAAGCGGGTGCCTCGAGCGACCACTGAGATGGTGGCTGCGGTGTACACTACTGTGGGAGGTTGCAGTGTTCAACGGAGTTTGCAGAGGCAGGGTCGATGTGATCTGGACCATTCAGAGAGGAGCAGACTGTGGCTCCTCTCTGAGGCAGAGGTCTGGGTGCAGAGAGTTTCTTTGCTCTGATCCTTTGAAAAGGAACAAAAAATCGCCAAAGAACAAAGCCTCCAGAGAACAAAACCCTGAAAAACTGGCTTCCACCAAGCCCAGTCCCTTGGTAGCGTGCAGGGCAACAGACTCAAACAGGACTGACTGAGAAACAATGCAGCAGGCCCCGCCTCCAGAAGACAAGCAGAAAGAACAAGAGGACAATAACCATAGGGTGCCCATAAAACTGTAAAACCCCAACATCAGGGGAAAACAATATATTAAGCTCCTGGTATTGCACCACAGCCTGTATATTATATAGTTACAACTTTTTTTTCCTTTAAATTCATTCTCATAATTCTTGTTCTTATTTTTTTTTTACCTACCTACCATTTCAACTAGATGTTTAATACAACGTATTAGTAACTTTTTTTTTAAGATTTTATTTATTTATTTATTTGACAAAGAGAGATCACAAGTAGGCAAAGAGGCAGGCAGAGAGGAAGGCGGGGGGAGCGGAGCAGGCTCCCTACTGAGCAGAGAACCCAATGTGGGGCTCAATCCCAGGACCCTGAGATCATGACCTGAGCCGAAGGCAGAGGCTTAACCCACTGAGCCACCCAGGCGCTCCTACTTAGTAACGTTTAACTTGAACTTTTTCGAAACATATACTTTTTTAAAAAAAAATATATATATATATACATAGATATAAGCTTCAAGTTAGTCCCTTTTTCCTATTCAATACTACCCCTATATATATACACCAGTTTTAATTTCCCTGTATCTCTGGAAAGTTGAGTCCTTTAAAAAGGTATCAAGATACACCCAGGAAGAACTGAAATACCCTTCATCACCCACGTTGAGGGATTATAACCACATTCCTGTCTTATTCTTTTGTCAGTGTTTCTGTG